TGTGGGACCAGGGGAAGCCCTGGGTGGTGGTGGTGGGTGTCCCCCGGCAAGCAAGAGGCCTCCATCCAAATGAGTCAAAGTGGGAGAAGGAACAATGGAGCAGGAAATGGGGAGGAGGGGATGGGACGAGAGAAGGATAGATAACGAAAAGAAAAGGAGGAAGGGCAGAGTATAAATAAATAAGGACCAAACAGGTGTCAGGGGCACTGTCTGCTTCTCCTGGTTTCCAGGAGAGGGTCTCTTGCTCACGCCTTCAGTCAGTTACTCATGGATGGAACGAGGTCAGGGGCAGGCAGTAGGTAGTATTTATAAAGGAAAGGTTCTGTGGGATCTCCCCGGTGGCGCAGCGATTGAGTGCTGGGCTGCGAAGCTGTCCGCAGCCTCTGCAGCGCCTGTTAGATCCCCGGCCACCGGGTGAGGGTCCCACAAGGCGCGCAGACCTCTCCTGCCGCCCGCTGCTCCCCTCAGCAGTGTACTTCATCAGTCTGCCTGTTCTGTTCCCCACTCTGTCTCTGGTGACACATCAACCTGAATTCTCTCACCCTCCCAAGTCTCTGACTGTACCCAGTGCTTGTATAAATAAATAAAATAAAATCTAAAAAAAAAAAAAAAAGAAAAAAAGAAAAGGTTCTGTGTCTTTAGCAAGACGGGGCAAGGGCTCCATCATGACAGGTGGGGGCAGTCTCCACCAAGGTGCTGGCAGGGAAGGTGATGTCTGAAGCATGGCATACACCTAGGCCAGGGAGGGGGACAACCACAGCAATGAAGGAGATGATCCTGCTGTAGAAGGGGTGCTTGGAGACAGCAGTCTCTGGTCTGGGCCTCTGCAGGGACTGAGTCCACATGGAAGGGATGAAAGCACAACTGGCACCCTCTGCACCCTCTGGCTGGTGGAGGGGCAATGGCCATGTTCACCCTTGTTAAGGGGACAGGGACAGGTTAAGGGGCTGGGAAAATAGGGCATCTTGGATTTTGGTAAATCTGTGGGGAGAATTTCTGGAGCCTCCACCCCCACCCCAGCTGAGGGCAGGGGTGGCTCCAGAGTGCAGGGCACAGCTGGCCTCCTTCCAGCTGGAAACGCTGCAGGTGCTCCACCACTGAAAAGATGAACTCTGAGGCCCAGGAATACCTTTGAAGGGAAGCACCCAGGGGCCTTGCCAGTCAGTACTCTGACTGCTCGAGGGACTCCAAGCTCCCCATTGCCCCAATTCCTGATGACGTCTTAGACCTACACCCTCTGGGGGGCTTTTAGTTCCATTTCAGCCCAGGGCTCCTTTCCAGGGGGAGAACAGGGTGGCAGCAGTCAGAGACACGGTTCGCCTCCCAGATTCCTGGGTGTGACTTAAGGCCAATCCAGCATTCGGTGCTGCTCTGAGTGCACCTTAGCAGACATGCGCTCCTGGGATGTCTGTGGGATCAATTGCAAGAGGCCGCTGGTCTGGGGAACCTCAACCAGGGAAATCTCTTTCTGCCCCTTCTTACTAGACAAGGCAGACCGGAGGTGGGTCGAGTTGACAGAATGAGCATCAAGACTGGTGGCCACGTGAAATCCTAGGGATAAAGTCACAAGTGGTATGTGGCTTCCCAGACTCGGTGTGGGTGAGCACCAGCAAGAGGAGGTAGACTGGTTAACCAGATCTGGGGACTTGTTTTCACTTGTGAATAATAATAATTAGCACACTGAGCTCTTATCTGCCAACCACTGTTCTGAGTATTGTTTCAATGCATCGCGTGTATAATCTAAAGGAGCACCATCAAATTAAATAACTTTATTCCTGATTTTACAGATGAAGAATCTGAGCCACGAAGAGATGACATCATTTGGTTGAGGTCATACAAGGTCTGGGGTCAGTGTTCTGTTTTGCCTTTGTGAAGAAGAGGGAACATGCATTGCGCTTTTCTGAAGGGAAAACAAGCTGATGTCAGGGGTTCTTTCAAGCAAGCAAATTTCAGGGCTGTTGCTGAGCTCACCACCCATTCAGCGAGTGGCCCAAACACTGAATGCATTTCTGTGTCCCAGCACATGGCATAACTGATGTTCAACAAAATGACTTTCAACCACCCAGGAAAGGTTAATTCATATTTTGGAAGCTCCCTTAAATAAGGTGGGGGGGGGCGCGGGGTGGGTTATGAGTAATAATCTCTATCAGAATGAAAGTTAAACACTTTCTGCAAAGCTTGGCCATGCTGGTAACTCCTTCCAAAGGATGCTTAGTTTTCAATGTTGTCCCTTCCAACGGGTTCTGCTCTTCAGCCACCAGGGTTGCTTTGCTTCCACAAAACAGGAACGAGCTGCGTCTATTATTTCTCTGAGAAGCACTCCCAGAAGATGGCGGAGATCACGTGAGCAGGTTCTCGTTCTTCCTCCCATCTCAGTGTAAAATTCCCCAAGCGCTTGGGGCCCTGCAGTGCCGGGCAGCCGGCAGTTCCCCCAGCAGTTGCCTTGGCATCTTGCCTCCTTTACACAAAGTGATCACTGTTGCAGAAAATGAGGGTCCTGTGACCATTTGGCACCATCCCCTGCCTGGCATTCGCGTGGGAGAAGCAACTTTCTCCCTGACAATAGATTCTGATCCCAAACCAGGCCTCTTTCAGAGAAACAGCTTCTCAAAGAGTGACTTTGCCTAGAGGTTATAACTGCCTGTTGGAACAGAAGTAGTTTCCTGCAGGAAACCCGTTAATGTCACTGAGAAATTATTAGAAGGCATGTGAAGATTTCCTACAGCTCTTCACCCCCTGCCTTCGCCGCCATCAACTCTCACATCTTAATATTTCTCAAGGCATTTTCACATCTGTCTTCACCTCTGGTTTGTACCATTATTGTTACGTGGCAGAGGCAGGAGCCATGACATGGGAGGCTGAATGTGTTGCCTCTATCACACGGTGAGTTGGCCTATGATTAGAACTCGGGACTTTGGGCTTTACCTAGACCATCCTCCCTTTCCTGGCGCTGCTGCTTTCTTGGCGGGCCTAGGCTGCAAGGCGGTTGTCACGTAGAACGTCTGGTCAAAGGAGAAGGTAAAGTGTGATTCAGCAGCCTGTCTCCTCCTTGGCCAGAGAGAAAGAAGCTTAGAGAACTCATGACTCAGCCCAGTTCCCATATAGAAGGGGAAATTGAGGCCTAGTGAGGTGATGTGAGCTGTCTGAAGTGAAATTGTTGGTTATAGCCATCAGTATCTGAGACTCTGCACTCCCTTCCCTGTGTTCTTTTCACTTCACTGTGTGGGCTACAGGTGAGAGATCACTGACCTGCAAATAAAAAAAAAGTCCTTTGATATAGCATGGGCAGGGTTGGGAGAATTCACCACTGTTTCCTGAATAGAGGTAGATTTGGGAAGGTTCCCTTTATACTTGCACATCCTGAAATGGGAATGGAGAACTGATTAAGAAATGACTGGTGGAGCTGGAATCTGGGTCCCACATGTCACTCAGCAAAAGCCTTTTCCAAAAGTGGTGACTTGAGAGATCTTATGAATTTCAGAACTACCATTTTTCTTCAGTGTCATAACCTCTCTGAATTGCCACCCTCCACCCCAATACCTGAAGTCTGAGGACAATAGTGTGTGTCCTGCCCAGGTCATGGGATTATTTTAAGGCTCCTACTCAACTCTAAGGGAGGAATCAAACCTTTTTCTTTTTCTTTATTAACTGCTGATTTGCTAATCTGCAGCATAGTGCATGGAACACAGTAGCAATCCAGTATTTATTGAACAAACGATTTAAGGATCATATGAAATGCTTCAAGTAAAAGTGCTTTGTCATCTCTGAATCACAAGAACATCTTCAGTGGCATTAAGTAGGGTTCTGACCTTGCGTGACTTGCTTAACCTCTCTGGACTTCAGCGTTTCTATCTGCAATGCAGGATGTTCTAGGCGCATCTCGTATTTTGACTTAAACCACTTGATCTCTAAGGTCCCTTTCAGATCTGTAATTCTGAATTTATGTGTTCACTGTGACTAAAAGACTACGTTGAATCTTCCACGTTGATTTAGAAAGTATCACAGACCAGTGTGGGTTAGAGCAAGGATAACAAGTTGATCTCATATGTGATTTCTAGATATTGGTCGTAGCTGCCTAGAATGCAAGGTGGGGAATGTTTTTCAGGGTCTGTGGTATAGAGTTAGTGGTTTATTAGTGATGTCTGTCAGGGGTACAGAATGCAAAGGAGCAGCAAGGACACCAAGTATCCTCCATCTTCAACCTCAATATGCAGTGGCTACCATGGAATTTCTGAGAGGCGATGTTATTTTTCATTGATCTTGACTAATAATGGAGAAGCCACTTGGCTGAGGCCAGATTGTTCTGGAAGTAAACCCAGAGTTCTACAGATTTGTGGTAAATCACCCTCTGCTTTTCATGGCCTCTCTTATTTATTAGGCAAATGAAGAAAAGTAACAGATTGATTGTTGAGACATCAAGTCCAGACTCAGAATCGATCATCCCGAGACTCAAAAAAACGAGTCTCTGCTTTTGGGGAAAATGACAATGCACAATGACACAAAATTTTTACACATAAACATGAACCTTATTTGCCGATTAGCATGTGGTGAAGACCATAGGCAAGCCCAGGCAAATGCATAATGCCAAAAGCACACTTGATCTCTCTTGGATTAAGGTCCTTCCCCCTTCCACCCTGAGCTTTCTGGATGTACCCCTTCTTCCCCCCGTCTAGCCTTGTGATGAAGAAATGGTAGGTTTTGGGTCTGACTCTCAGGATTCTGGAAAGAGATGCACAGGTGAGGCTCCTCACATCTCTCACACAGGGGAACCTCACTAACCAGAGAGGCACCTTCACAGCCCTCAGGCACCATCCTGTAGTTTAATATGCTTTGAAACCCAAGGATGCTGTGAAGGCCGAACGTTCCCCTTCTCCCTGCCTGTGTGGGAGTTTGGGGCTTGGTTTGGGGTTTGGGGGCAGGTGTATGGGTCCCCACATGTCATCGCTTCATGGCTGTCCAGAAAAATGTCACAATGGAGGGGTGACATGCCAGCCCTGCCCCTCTCCTCCTTCCAGCCACAACAACTTGGGCTTCAGGTTACCGCCTCAAGGTTGGTCTATCTCCACTGTCCAGGTTCCTGAAAAGGCTGCGCTAAGTGAGTGATTACTTCGGGACTTGAAATAGCTTTTTTCCTGTCCCAGATATGACACAGTCACTTCCCCAACAGGGCTATCACTCCAAGAGGAACAGGACGTCCTTGTAATGGAGCCAAGAGGGTCACATGATCAGACAGTGGGGGTATGGCGCCCTCGTGGGACCTTGTTTCCCCTTAAGCTGTTGGCCAGGACTTGTCCACAAAAACCTATTTATGAGAGATCCTGGCTAGCCACCCTGAATCTACCCTCGTATAGGGTTTCAGTCCAGAGCAATTTCTCCAGGGAATAAATGCCTGCTGATGAATGGCTAGAGAGTGATAGGGGAGTGACTTTGGTGACCACACAGAAATAAACCCAGCATACCTGTGCTTTTGCACTAGAAGCATCGGGGAATCCCCATGACCCATTATCTTTGTCCCCAGTGGCACCCCAAAGGGAGGCTGTCAAATTTGGATAACTAGCTCAATTTGCTGATTTGCTGATTGGGGAATTCTTGGCCTAGTCCTGAGCCAGCTGGAGCAGAGAGTGGGAAACAGAGGAAGGAAAGGTTTTCTTTACAATTCAGGGTCAGGCAGAACAGCCAAGGCATTTAGGAAAGATGAATCCTAGCCGTAACCCCAGCTCTAGCCCCCCAGACCTTGCAGATACATGGCCAAATTTTACTGGGAAGCTACCAGGCATCCAGGGGAAAATATGATTTAGGCCCTCCATGCAGGGGCAGGGGCGGGGGAACCGAGAAAGGCCTTCAGGAGGTCCCCCGCCCGGGAAAATTAGCTGAGTCAGAAACCAACAAGAGGAACCTGGGCTAGAGGAACTTGGTCCGTTAGTCAGAGGCAGCCGCACACTGGGAGAGTTGGTTTTTTTTTTTTTTTTTTAATCTTGAATTTCTGCTGCCATAAGAACCTTCCAGAGATGCAAAGTGATTTTATATCTATTTAGTGAAACCTTCCAAAGGACTGAAAGTCACCTTTGGAGTGAATGGGAGAGTCCCCAGTCAGACTGGGAAAAAATTTCTAGAATGCCAGGAACCAAGGTGGATTTTCCAGGGCTGTTTGGTCTTGCTGCTCAGCCCCTTCTTTTCTTTTCAAGAGTGAGAGAACAGCTAGACCCCAAAGTTCTGGGGATTTTGACCTCTGGAGACTGAAGCTGGCCATCAGCCAGGTGAGGTCACATAACATCAATTCCTGACTGGGACACGGGGAAAGCGCATGGCAGGCCTGTGCTGGTGAGAGTGCGCGGTTGCAGGCTGATCCTGTGTTCATGCGAGCTGGTTTGAGCAGGAAGGAGTTGTCTGGGGTCATGGCAGGGGTCACGGCAAAGCTCACGGCATTGTCACAAGAGCTGCAGGAGCCGCTCAGGGCTGAGCTTCCCAGAGCCAGGCCACGGGATTGGGCTGGGAGGGAGCGGCTGCCACCACCAGCCACAGGACAGGTTCTTTGCGGCAGGCAGGGCCCTGCCACACTGCTTCCTGCCCCAGAAACCCGTGCACCTGCCACCAGTGGGACCCACAGAATCCATGCCTGCACCCCTTCAGTTTCCTCACTTACAAATCGAAGTCTCACGTGGGTGCATGTAAGTGGCAAAATCTAAGCCACATGTCTGTACTCAGCAGCAACGGAGATGAGAAGGCTGACGCACATACGCGCATGCACTCAATGCCAATATCCTTAAAATGTGCAGAGATGATGCAGAACCTTTTGAGAAGTTAGGAATGACAGATACCCGCCCCAAGAGGTCCATGAGCTGAGGTCTGGGACCCCTGGGAAAGTCAGCCAGAGGAAGCCCACAGCGGCTGAGCAGATCCACCCCCCCGGGCCTCCCTCTGCAGCAATATGCTTGGTTGGTGTTAGCAAAATGGAGAAGTAAGAACCTCTTGTGTTCTAGGTTTTTCACACAGCCAACCCAACTGTCACCACTATGTATTCAGTTTTAAGGCACTTTCAAAAGGAGATTTGAGTCAACCGGGTATTGTTTCACATGCTACAACACTCGTCCACCCTGTGAGGTATGAAAACAGCCGCACACGTGGCTTCTGTCTTGGAGGGGACGGGGGAAATGTACTCACACCACTGGTATAGAAATAGCCCTGTTGTGAGGAGCACCAGATGAATAGTACAGGCAACAGTGAGGCGTTCAAAGGGCAGTGATCAAAATGGCTTTTTGGAGGAGGGGGGACTGGAACTAGGCCTTGAACCATGGGTGGGATTTAGACGGGCAGTGAAGTGGGAGAAGCTGGCCAGGAGCATGGGAATGAAGTAAGAGGTGCTTGAAGTAAGAGGTGCATGGGGTGTAAGTGTGGAAGCTGTGAAGGATTTGGGTTGAAGAATTATAGAAGATGACAATAGATGCTGAACTGGGATCCTATGTTGGAGAATCTTGACTGTTCCATGTATTAGTCAGGATTATTTTAGTTTCAAGTGCTATACATCCAAGTCACATTAAAATTAGATCAAAGGGAATTTATCATTTGACTAAATAGCCCATAAGTTTGTGACATGCCTTGCTCCAAGTATTCTGATGATTTCATTGCAATTTAGTTTCTCTTTCTCTCTTTCTCCCTCCCTCCTCCTCTCTGTCCCTCTGGCTCTCTTGTGTCTCAGCCCTGGAGTCATCTGCTTTGGTTTCGTTTTCCAACAGGTTTTCTCCATGCCATGGTTTCTGGCAATCTGAGGCTTACATCATCTCAACTCAATATCCCTTCCCCAATATTTCTAGCAGAATTCTCAGGTCTCAGGCTCGTAGATTGGCTTTGCCTAGGTTGTGAACCACCACCTCTTCTCCCACCAGACCTCTGACCAGGGCCGTGGGAGTGTTTTGCCACCATCCCAGGCTGGGTAATTTCACCATAGGTTCCAGCGATTTGAAGGAGAATTTTGGAGTTGTTGGCATCAGTTTCACAGGTTGGTAGGCAGGGAAGCCAGCCAGCAGGGAGACAGCAACTTGAGCCCCCTGGGAATCTCTGTACAATCTTTTCTCTGGGTTTTCTCTGGCGTTCTCTCACGGTCTCTTCTTGCAGCTGTCACTTGTCCTCTCATAGCTGTTCCGCCACAGGGTCTCTGAATCATGCCACCCTTATATCCCTGACCTCTAGGCTCAGGTGTGCACGCTTGCACATGCACGCCCATGCTCAGATGTCCATAGTCAGGCATACGTGCCTCACACCCACGCCCTCTACTTAACAAGATCAAGGCCGTAAGGGATAGCCACAGAGGCCAATGGCATAAAAGCCTGACCATTTACCCTATAGGAGTCTGAGGTGTCTCACTGACAAGGTCTGGGATATGACTCAAGAGAGCAAGTTCAGCTTCCCTGCAGCCACATGGAGGGACGGTCACGACAGCAGCACTGTCAGTGCCTCCTTATTCTCTTGGCCCTCCCCATCTTGTTGGATGCTGACTCAATTTCCAACTCTTTTTTTTTATATACACGGCTGAGGGGAGCAGACAGGAGAGGTCTGTCGTGCCATGTGGGCAGCTCCCCGGCCAGCCGGGAGCCTCAGAGTGCTGCACTCAATCCCCTGTGCCACCAGGGAGGCCCTCAACTTCCAACTGTTAACGCCTGCATATCTTTTTCTGCGGGCTTGTCTGCCCACTGGAGCCCGCCTGCACACATTCAAGAAGACCAGAAGCGCCAGGGAACTGACACCTCCTAGGAGCCATCCTCAACCAATGCTGGTGTATAAACACCTCTACTCTCTTGCGTCTTGGCTGGGAGAGCTCCAAGGCTCAAGGTCTGTAGTGCTTCTCAGAGTTTCCCAGTGGAAGCTCCAGTCACCCAGCATAGTCACCTGAATGTAACGAGCTGTTTATTGATTTCCTTCCCTCCCCAGCCACTTTTCTACTTCCCTGCTTGTGTTTCCTGGGAATCACCTTTTAAGTAAACTACTCACACTTGAATCTACGTCTTAGGGTCTATTTTGGGGTAATTCAAACTAAGAACAGGGTGATGTCACTAGAATAAGGGGGGATAAATACTGTGTAGGCAGAACTCCCCTTGTAGGGTAAGTGAAAAATATCAGGATTTTCTGTCCTCCCGCCATTAGGATTGATGATGGATCCCTGCAGTCCTGATGCATGCCTGATGGCGGACACCTAGAGTAGGGTGTGGGCATGCGTAAGTGGGTACACCTGGGCTGAGAGACTGAGCTTATAAGGGTGGTGTCACCGGGATGCCAGCAGAACCACGAGAGAAGCAGAGAGAACGCGAGAGAATACCGGAGAGCCTAGAAAGAGTGAAGACTTGCTGGGGGCTATGAGGCCTGCCAGCCTCCCGGCCCCCCAGCACTCCTGCCTGCTGTGTGCCTGGTAAATCCCAATAAAAGCCTGCAAAAGCCACCGAGGGCTCCAGGACTTCTCCTTACTCCATCTGCTCGGGTCATAGAGATCCTGCTCTGAGCCCGTCCTGCCACTACACCCCTCTTCACTGGATGTCAGCTTCTCTTGGACAAAAGATTGGGACTGTTTTGTTTTCCTGACTGCTATATCTCTGCCTCCACCTAGAGTTGGGCAGCAGGTTTCTGGAGGTGAAGGATTCTGCTTGTTCACTGTGGTGGTCCCAGAATCCAATCTGGTACATAGAAGGTACTAAAACAATATTTATTCTACCGAATTGCATTTTATAGGCAATGAAGAACCATTAAAGAATTTTGTGAGCCAGAGCTGGCAGAATATGTTTTGTTTTTCTACTAAGATTAAATAACTTGGAGTCAGCATACAGGATGCACAGGGAAATAGGGAACAATCAGTAGTTGGGGCTTAAGAATGGTAAGGGTCTCTGGTATATAGCACAGTGACTGGTGCATGAGAAATGCACAGTAGGTATTTGTTGAGTGAATAAAGGCTAACAAAGTAGGGGTCAATGTCATTGAACTTATACCTAGTGGGCCGCTTGGTTGACAAAAGGCTGAAATTATTCAGGGTGTGCAACTTAATGAGGCATTTGGTATTGGTTAAGGCACCCCTGCCACATAATTTGGAGGGGTACCAGACTCTCTTACAGTTAGTAGGGACATATGACTAGTTTTGACCTGTGACATATGGGTGAAAGTTCCATACGCCACCTCTAGGCCTGATCCCTAAAACCGTCCCTGTGAACTATCACACTCTTTCGTGTCTTTCATTTGCTGGTTGATGCTGAGGATGTAGCAGAGGACTCCAAGGCCTTAGGTGATGACAGAGCCACTAGAGTAGCTTGGGTCCCTGGATGACTCTGTGGAGCAGAGTTCCTCACCCTTACTTAGTTTCTCACTGATCTAGAACCAGAGTGAGAATTTAACTTATACTGTGTGGAGCCACTGAGATTTTAGATTGTGACAGGGTAGCCATTAACTATATTATTATGAGACAACTCATTTCACACTGGGGAAGGAGGCAGTGGCCTCTGGCGTCACCAGTAAGACAGAGTCCTAGCTGCAATTTTCCATCTGTTAACTGAAAGCAAGCAGACATGCCCACGGCTGCAGGGAATTAGAAGAGAGCTGATTGTTGGGGAAAATTAGGAATTATTTCTGAAAATAGTATGAGTAGTGCTAGGTGGAAAAACAGGAGCTCCTAAAAGTCAATGCTTTTCTAGAAGGTCAAGGATCTCCACTGAGTTTACCAATATGTTTTCATGTTCTCATACAGGAATGTACTATTAGTGTTCTTTGGCTCCCAGGTTTTGGGAGGCTCGCAGTTACAGTCACCTTGGCTCAGAGGAGTTAAAAGGCCAAGGGTCTAGTAAACAGAGAGAGAAAGTATGTAGCTTGGGGTCTGCAACAAACATTTGGGGGACAATAATGCCAAATGCTTTCCTAGATTATCACATTTTGTTATCCTTATGGCCACCTGTGGCATGCCCTGTCACTAATGTCCACATTGGAGAAGAGAAAACAGGCTCACAGAGGTCCCATTACTTTTCTACCCAAGGGCATGTGTCAGTAAGTGGCTTGGTTTTTAGAGTTCCAAAGATTGATCACCCTAGGAAAACTGAGGTGGCAGGTAGGTGACACTGTCTATGGAGGGAGGAGCCCCTCCCCCTGACACATACGGGACTGCTAGGTTGGCTTGAAGTAGCTGGAAACGTTACAGGCAGTGCTGCAGGACAACCAGGAATGACTGCAGCAGACTGGGGAGGAAGGGCTTCTAAAAAGGTCACCTTCTCCTCCCCTCCCCATCACCTCTGGGTTAACAGACAGCCACAAGTCCTTGAGAGCATTCTACTTTGGACTCTTACCTCTTACTTCTGGATTGCTGTGACAATTGCTCTGTGACCTCTTCAGGGAGACTTTGCCTGATACTCCAGCCTAAATGGAAGCCTTTTGTTCCCCTCCCCTACTTGGTTTTGTTACATAGCTTATGATGATATATATTGTTTACTATTTAATCTTCCTCCTGCCAGAGGAATAGGATTCTGTTTTGCTCAGCATTGTATGTATAGTGCCTAGACAGTGCTTGACACACAGCAACTGCCCATAAATATTTGGTAAATGCATGCCTGTTTCCCAGACCCTGTGCTAACTCTCTGTGTATTATCTCATTAAATCCTCAAAAGCCCATAGTTTGCCCAGGCTGGGCCCTAGAACCAACTTCAGCAGGTAATGAAGTGATGATGTCCTGCCACCCCCTTTTCTGCATCCTTCGGGCAGACTAGGGTGTAAGAAGGCCTAAGGATAGACCATCAAAGTTAACCGGCTGTGAAATTCACAAGGCCAAGCATTCAGGCCTGTGCTAACTCTCTGTGGCTGCTATTAATGGCACCATCTGATTCTAGCACCTTTACACCTCCTTTGGTGTGAAAGTCCTTGGGAGTACAGGGCAATCACAGCTCCCAGAACTTTCTTTCAGAAATTAGCAAAAGTGGGCATAGCTCAGTGGAAGAACATTTGACCAAAGAAATTAACAAAAGGAGAGAGCCATCCAAGGAAGATCTACAGGGATTTCAGGCCCCTGGTGCTTGCAGACCTTGGGAAGGAAGATCTCAGGATAGGGCCGGTGGGGGCGGTGGGGAGGGGCCTTAGAGCTAATAAGAGAAGCTTTTGAGTCTTCTCTTTCACTCATGCTGCTGCCTTGGAGAGAATGAGGGTTTTGGCCCAAGGAGATCTGGAGTCAAGACCCAGCTCTTGGCTAATGAGGGGCTCCTCCCCTCGACTCAGCCTGTTTAGACAAACGGGGAGTTTTACCGCGTCTCACACCCAAAAAGGATTAGCCTGTCCCCCTATATATAATGTGTTTCAAACTTTGGGGGCAAACAGTACCTGAGAGTGACTGACAAGATGTTTGAGGTGAAAGCCCACAAGACTGACCTGCCAGGCGGTGTGCCCCTCTTTCCTCGGCAGTCTCCCCTGGGCATTCACTGTTTGCTTAAAATAAACATCCTCTCACACAAAGGCTGCCTGCTTTTTGGTTAATTTACCAAGCACCCAGCAAAATATTTATCTAGGACCTCCTGAATATGAGCTATGCCCACAGCAGTGAGCAAAAGAGACAAAGCCCTGGCCTTCTTGAAGCTTATAATCCAGTGGCAGGATAATTGATCAACCCATGGTGCAGGCCTGGATCTATATTCTTGGTGTTTCTTGGCTTAGCCTCTAGATGGATGTGGCAGAAACACAACCATAACGTGTTAGAATTGGAAAAATGTTAACTCAACCATCCAGAAGACCCTCACCCCAGACATTAAACTCCTCCTCACCCTCCCAGCTCTCCTTGCTGCTATTTAATTCTGGAGGCTGCATTTCCGTGCTCTGAACACTAGGATTTAGGAGGGGCTTTTTCCGACTGTTGTGTGGCCAAGGCTGCAGCCGGCAAACATTCTCAGGGGCCGCCCAGGGCTAGCTGCTCCAAGAGGGAGGAAGTTGGAGGAAAAAAATCCATCCTCACCCTTGCTTCAGGCTGGCTGGCTGGGCCTCCAGGGGTACTGAGCTGGCAGGTGAGAAAAGAATCACCTCTGTAAACACCCCAGCTCCTCCTGCAGTGGGGTGGACTTTGCTTGGTGAGTTTGCTATGTGGTTTGGAGAAGCTTCCTGGAGTTTCTGCCTTTTGTTATGATACCATCAGCTGTTCCCTCGTAGTTTCAGGGCACGAACATCAGTCTGTTTATACTCAGCAGCACGAAGCTCTGCGAGTTTGTGTACACAGGAGGCCACCAAATGTCTGGAGAAAGAAGAGGGAGGTGAGCGTGGTGAAAGCCTTCGCTCTTACTAAGGGAAACTGGTCAGAGGTTTCCAGCCTCGGGCCTGGTGCTCCAGGACATGGTGACAGCCACGTCACAACCTTGAATATGACTTGGGATTGGTGAAGAGAAGACCCTGGACATTCGGCGGGGATGTGAATCTGGCCTCCCTCTGCCCTTTCACAGGAGCAGCCACTGAGCCTCAGACAGGTGCAGTAACCTACCCTCGCACGGTCAGGCGAAGAGCTCGTCTGGAATTAAAGATTCACGGCTCTTCCACCCCCATGTAATACTCAGCTCTTCAAGAGTAAGGTAATTCCATACAGATACACGTCTACATTTTTATGATGAAAAGTATGAGAAATCTTTTTTGGTAAGGGTTAAATATTCCCATTAGCCTGGCTGTAGCAGCAGGAAGGGCACAGAGCAGGATCCGAGCAGACTGGTAAAGGGGAGACCTGGAGCCCTCGGTGGCTTTCTCAGGCTTTAATTGAGCTTTTACCAGGTACATGGCAGGCAGGGGTGCCCACCAATCTCCCAGCCCCCAGCAAGTCTTCACTCTGGGCTCTCTGGCGCTCTCTCTGCTCTCTTCTTGCTCTTCTTTCTCTCGTTCTCACTCTGCTCTCTTCTCTACTGATTCCCCATGACGCTGCCCTTATAAACCCTGTCTCAGCCCAGGTGTGTCCACCTCAGCATGCCCACACCCCACTCCGGGTGCCCACCATCAGGCATGCATGTAGGACTGCAGGGCTCCATTATCAATGCTAATGGCAGGAGGGCAGAAAAGCCTGATAATCACTTGCCCTACACTGGCCATACGACTGTCCCCAATACTGGTGTCACTTTCCCAGAGGGACATGATGATCTTCTCTTCCCACACTCCTCTGTGCAAATCTCAGTGTAACAAAAACTGGTCCTATTGTACTGAATGATGCTGTGTACCCCATCTAATTCTCACACCTTGGAAACTCTGGAGTATCATGTCTATCAGTGGACATGTGTGTACACTATAAAGGGATTTTTGTTATAATAGTTTTTGTGGCACCAATATCTCCAATGGATTTCTGGAAAAATTAATTTCTGGAAGAATCTGTCTTTTAGATGCTCAGATATTATTCAATGTCAGTGGTGGTCAATGTTTGCAATTCTTGCTTTTTGCATGTATAGGTGACATTAGATAGGAAGTTCCCAACTTTCTACACCAGAAGTTCAATCATAAAGTGGTTATGGGAACTGGGAATACATTTTCCCATAAAACAACATTATATATGGCCATATGGTTTAGTTAATCCTTGAAACTTGTTTAACTTCATATATACTTGAAATACTGCCCATTTGGAATTAATACAAGCATGAAGCATAACATTTTTTGCCATCAATGCTTAAATTAAAGAACTGTAAAACCAAATAAGAATTTTTAAAAATTATCATGAATGTTGGTGGTTAGGTGTGAGCAGGTTTATTGGAAGAGGATGTAGATGAACGTTTTGTGAGAATTTGGATGTGAACTTTGGATATTTTGGGGGCTTTGGGTTTGGGATCCTAGTTCTTGAGCAAGGTTAATTTGACTTTTATATTTCTGGCTTTGCCTTCTCTAAGGTGTCACTGGCCCCACTGTTTAAGTTGCTCAGATGTGATTAGGGCTTTGATTTTTGCTGACAAAGGGAATAAAGTAAAAGAAGGGAGCAACATTTTTCATGTTGAGATCACTAAGTAAGACAGAAAAAAAGCAGACAAAGATATTGTGTCTATGAACTGGGATGCTTTAGGGTGTGTGGATCCCTGGCACTGATATTTTTTTTGGGGAAGGGGCCCAGGAGAGAGCTGATGCACAGGCCCACCCACCCAGCTTAAGCCCAGTAGTCAGTGGTGGTCCTTGATAGTCTAGAACCCTGAGCTTTCCTTGTGTTCTTATGTGAGAGTCACTCCAAATCAACATGTCACCACCATTTGGTGCAACCCAGCCCCACGTGTCCTCATGTAAGAAATAGCCTAGCCAGTGGGAGTGGTGCGCTTTCCCTGATGCCCTTCAGGAAGCTAGGCTCAGCCAGAACCCAGAACAACCCTACAAACATTAGCTCTACAACTCTTCTGGGCATCTGGTCAACCCCATACATTTGAGGAATGGAAGAGGACTAGGGGTTAGGTGAATAGAAGGATTAGTGAGCACCCCAAAGGGAAGAAGTAGGGACTGGGACAAAAGAGAGGACTTAGAACATTTCAATTGGGGCACAAACTCCACTTACCTGTAATATCTATAAGGAAGAACTATCTGTGGTGGGCCCAACTAAACCTTGAAAAACAAAAGATGAAAAGGAGAGAGCTTGACAAATTTGAGTCTTCCCCATGAAAGAAGAAAGGGGGTGATGGGGATGAGAACATTGGCCCCACCCTTGCTCAGATCAAGTGAATCCAGGTAGAGTGAGCAGGCATCACAGTGCTGAGTAGGGAGAAAGCACCCATCAACTTATTTTGCCCTAAGTGAAAATGCTTGGTTTAGAGAAATAAAGGTGGATGAGGGTTGTCTGGAGGTGATACAATCTGTTCTTTTAGTTCTTAGAATCTCTCCTTAAATCACACTTGCTCTGAATCTGAACCATAGTATTTTTAGTCTTCACTGGAAATGCTTTTAAACAAACTTAACTTTGTTAATAAGCTGTCAGCCTATATTGAGGATGTTTTAAGAGACAAGGTTATGGAACTCCTTGTCACATTATGGTAAGAATATTGTTGGTTTTTCTTTAAATGAGAATCAATGGAAGAAATTTGTCTTAGGTCTTCGTTACAGGAAGAGTTATTTTTCACCTAAACACCTGGCTTTTATTTTGCAGACACTATAAATTATATAACTGACCATGTCTCTTTTTTTTTTTTCCATTTTACCTCATGTATTAGGAAGTTCATATTCAAATTGGAGGCCATCTGAGCAAGTATACAGACCCTCTCAAACTGCAGAACTGAAATTTCACCCTTACACATCTTACTTTTTTCTTTCTTGTTTCCCCCTTTTCTTTATTTCCTTATTTACCTATTGTTTTTCTTTCAATATATTGCATGTATTTTTTTAGGTCATCTTAAATTATTTGAAGAGCTAGAACTAGGTGGTTAAATAAACACAGTAGTGGCAAAGGGGTGCTCGCTCACAAGAGTTCATTTGCTGACTGGTTGGGTGGCTTGAACAACAGGCTATTCATAAGTACAGGAAATTTGCAAGACTGATGTTAGAAACTCTGGAAGTACCTGTACTATTTATAGTTGCATTTTAAAACAAATTCTTGAATCTGAGCAGTGAATATGTGCCATTCTAACTGGAAAGGTAATTATCAAATTCCTTAGTAGTCCATTTGGCCATGGTATAGAAGTGCCTCTACGCTTAGGGGAGCAAGAAGCTGGTGATTTCTCTCATCTAAGCGGCACAGTTTTCTTTTTAAGGTTAATTTCATGTGTGTACCTATCCAAAGATCAAAGTCCAAATAATTAATCAAAACCACTGATTTTGCAAGTCCTCAGCCAATCTTGGACTAGATTCGCCAACAACAGGGATTGAAGAAAGCAAAACGAAATGGAACCAGGCCCTTGTAAAATACACTGTATTAAACTTACATATTTTTTCCTAGTCAGCACTCAACACTCAACCTTGTTGCTCTTCAAATTATCTCTTTCTTCTCAACTGGGAAAAGGAAAAATCTAGGAGCGAAATGGTTTGAATGGGGCAAAGAAGGGTGTTTATTTTCTAAATATCTCCTAGTGTCTTTGTTTTTTCCTACGTCACTGGCCTCCAGAAGGAATGGTGATGAGTCTCCCTTGTACCAGATGGTACAAGTGTTGGTGCAGCTCAGGGGTGGGCAGAGCATAGGTGTGATTTATGGAAGCCATTCAGTCTTCCTGGGACTGTTCCCTGTGGGATGAACTACAGGCCAAATTTGGAAAAAGGAAAAGACCGGTCCTCATTCTGTCGGTCCCTTTTCCACTGGAAGTGAGTTTGACTCTCACCTGCTTAGAATCAAGGATACCAAGGAGATTTTTGTGGCATAAATATTAACCTTGCAGAAAATTGGCCCAGAGTATGGAGGGAAGTTGGAGAAGGAAAGAATCAAGTCAGTTGTAGTCTTAAAAAGACTGAAAAAAAAAAAATCACAAAACGCAGCTCACAAGTTCTAGAGGTAGTATTTGAACTCAGGCCCTCCTCACTCCAACCCCAGCTCCTAATGCCACTGTCCTGTTCCACATGAGCAGGGTGCTAAGCAGCTGTCATTGTGTCTTTTCTGTCCCGGTGTCTGGGAGGAAGGAAGGGCCTACATGTTGGTCCCAAGAAAACTCAATACTTCTACCAGGTGCTTCTTCCTGGTTTTCCCTTTAATGAGATGCAGCTATAAAAATACTAATTTGTATACACTTGACTTAAGAAAAAAGCCCCTCAGAAAAACATAGTGATTTTCTCTGAGTGGTGGACTCCTGCGGATTGTTGTCTTTTTGTTTGGCTCTACGAGCTGGTTTCCCACAATGGATATGAATGACAATGTGGTTCTTGTGAAGTGGGGCGTCGGGTTCTAAAGTTAGTGTGTAAAGGAGAAAATCATGTCCAGTAAAATTGCCCTTGAAGATAACCTCCCTATTAATATAGGATGTATGTGGCTCTTTGTATCACAAAGTGCTTGCCTTGCATTTAAGAGCTAAGATGTATGAGGAGATACATATCTTTATACACAAGGAGTCACTGAAGGCGCCAAGTGGTACTAAGCTTGGTGGGAACTGAAACCAGCTGAGGGATTAGCTGTCATCTTGTTCTTCATTTTGTGGGATCTATACTCATTGAGTGGAGTGACCTAACATCTTCACTCTTCAAATTGTTCCCCTTCCACGCCTGCCCCAGGACATGGTGTGGAAGGTTGTCTTAAAGCTGGGTTTGTGAGGCAAGCCATTATTTTTAATTTAAATACATTTTGTAGCTTGACAAAATTAGCATTTTATTCTAAGGTAGAGGTACTTAGTTAATTCAATTTTTTTTTTTACAAGAGCTGGGGTGCAGGCCAGAGGTGTGGGGGGGGGTGAGAGGATTCACCAGAAACAGAGTGGGGAACAGAACAAGCAGAGCAACTGAAATACACTGCTGAGGGGAGCAGCGGGCGAGACAGGAGAGGTCTGCTGCGCCATGTGGATTGCTCCCTGGCCAGGGATCGAACTTGTGCTACAGAGGCTGCAGACAGCTTCACAGGCTGCGTCTTAACCCCTTGTGCCACTAGGGAGCCCTTTAGTTAATTCAATTTAGTTGATGAAATGCTAAGGTGGATTTATTCCTATTTCAAAGAAGAATGTCTTAAGGGCAGGGGTGGTAGGAATGAGGTAGATCTGGGTATAAAACCTGGCCTTTTAAGAGGTCATTAGTGTGCCTGCCTGCCTTTGCTTGGAAACCCAGCCCTCGGCTGCTGCAGCAAGTCTTCTGTGAGGACAACTCTTAACTGTGGGTCATTTTCCTATTTGGGTCCTAATCTGATTAGGTTGGGGTGGGAGGCAAGAGGAAGGATAGGTTGGAGGATGGAGTGGAATCATTTTGAGGTACACTTCTCCCTCTCTCCATCATTCCCAAGGAGGGCCCTACTAGAGGTATGTCCGAGGTCCCAGGCAGAGAGAACATTCCCCCACTACCCAATGCATATTGAACACCTTTTATTTTTTTAAACATTTATGCATATGAGAACTGGGGTACAGGTCAGAGGTGGAGGGTGGTGATGAGAGGATTCACCAGAGACAGAGTGGGGAACAGAACAGGCAGACTGACTGAAGTACACTGCTGAGGGGAGCAGCGGGCAAGTCAGGAGAGGTCTGCTGCACCATGTGGGTAGCTCCCTGGCTGGCTGGGGATCGAACTCGTGTTGCAGAGGCTGCGGATAGCTTCACAGTGCTATGCTTAACCCTGCGCCACCAGGGAGGTCCTGAACACCTTTTAGGTATGAAGCACCTGGTAGAAGTTTCTAGTCTTTCTGGGAGCGACCTATCAGCCCTCCCTTCCTCCCTGACATGGGGACAGGAGGAAAGGGACAGAGAAGACACAATGACAGCTGCTCAGCACCCTCTCATTTAGTGGCTTGTCCAGCTCTGCTGCTTATGTGGAGCAGGACAGTGGCGTTAGGAGCTGGGGTTGGAGTGAGGAGGCCTGAGTTCACCAGCGCTACCTCTGGAACTTGTGATCTGTGTGACATTCACAAGTTATTCATCCTTTCTGGGCCTCCAACAAGTTATCACATTATTCTGTAGAAGGAAAGATACTTATTGAGCACCTAATACGTGCAATGTATGTGGGACGAGTCCTGAGGGATATTCTCTGCCCTAGAAACTTACGGACTATGGGAAAGACTGATACTCAGATCTGTAGGTACAAACCATAGGAAGTAAGTTCTCCTAAGGGAAAAGGAAGAAGTTGATTCAGCCCCAATTTGGGTCATTTTGGGGAGAGGACTGTAAGAGAAGGGCTCCATGAAGAGCTGTTGCTGAAGCTGAGAACTGTAGGATGAGAAGGTGCTGAAATACCTGTGGGGGGAGGGGGCATTCCAGCAGGGGGTAAAGCATTGGTCCCACCTCCAGCTGATGAGATTCCTCTTTCCCTCCCACCTTTAGCTAAAAGTAGTCCAGTTGAACCTCCGGGGGAAAAGCCTCTCTCTCTATCCAGAGCCCCCCAGAAGCCAGTTCTGTGGCTCTCGCCCCTGCGCCTGCCCCACAGGATGTGTAGGATGGTGGTCCTCACGGCAGCCCGGCCTTCCCGGCTGCTTTGCCTCCCTGAGAGCCTGTCTCCAGTGAGGCTGGGCTCCCAAGCTGGGCGCCCGCCAGTCAGTCTGGCCAGGGAAGGAACTATTTTGGGAATTTTTATGATGGAACAATATTTTTTTGGTAAACAAACGGAAAGCCGTTAAACAGGGACTCTCACCCCGAGCTCCTGGTCACCTTTCTCCACGTGGAGGTGTCACAGAGGCAGCACTGTCCGGCAGCGGCCATGTCCCCAGGGCTGCCCACCTTCAGCACACACCCCATCATTTCTTTCAGGATAAACATCTGTGGAAATAGGGGAGGCTGCCTCCCCCACCCCCTGGATTCCTTGAAAACAAAAGCTCTTGGTGCAGTCTCGGGTAGAGGGGCCCAGGCCCTTGAAACTTGAAGGCTGGCTGGACTCAGAATGTTAGCTCTGGAAGGGACCTTAGAGGACATCTGCATCCCCTGCACACCCCCTCAGCAGGTGAGGGAACCAAGGCTGGGGCGGGGTGGGGGCCCTCCCAGGGTCTCAGAACTTATCAACTGCAGATGACATCATGATCCTCAGACACCAGACACCTCGCCTTGTTCTCTCGTCAGCGTAAGCCAGACCAGTGGTCAAGAAAAGGAAGTAAATTCATGTTTGCTATTTCTGCAGAGTCTGCAAGCTCTACCCTAGAGTAAATCATGGATGACTACGTTCTGGAACACCCACTCCACCCTCAGCCTCATCTGGGAAAGGATTTCCCTTATTCCTGAGGTCCAGTCCTTTATTCAGTCCTTTATTGTCTCTTGGCCTAATGACTTGGGGATGGATGTTAATTTAACTAAATGTGGTGATCATCTTGCAGTGCATACACTTGTCAATGATGTTGCATGTCTAAAGCTAGTATATTTATATGTCCATTGCACCTCAAAAATTCATAATGAAAAAAAAAGAACATTGGTATTATAGAGAGAAAAGTCACTGAGTTTTGTTTGGGAGGCTCAGGGAAGTCTTGAGGAGGGACTGTCATGGAACTGGAGGAGCAGAGCCAAAGGACAGGGTGAGCGAGAGGCAGGTTTCGAGGGGATGCAGTCAGCTGTTTGGGGCGGGTAGAGGAGGTACGCAGGGCAGCTGGTGGGAAACAGAGGGTGGGAAAGGGACCATGTTTGAAGACCAGTCCAGGGCTGCTGGTCCCTTGGAAGGTACCACCTGGTAGACACGGTTTGTGTTTTGCGCTGTGGTCATCTGTTGGTTGCATACTTTGCTCCCTGGTCAGTATGTACTGGCCAGCCTATTATGGTTGGTTTAGAACCTCTTAAAATGTAAGCTCCCAGTGGGTAAGTCCAGTTTCTATGCATTCTTTTTATTTCCTGAGCCTGGCACAGTATGGACCATAAACAGTTAGCGTGGTATATGACACAACCATCACCATAACCATAACCCTGGCACAGATGTGGTCCGGATGTCTCAAAGGGAGCACCTGGCCATGACTAAGGAGCAAACTCTAGGACAATCAGAGCTGCCGACACACTCAGTGATCCCTGGGATCCCTCACCCACCAGCTGTGGGTTGCCTGTGATGAACTTGCTGGCGTGTGCTGCCTGTCCACTGACTTCTGTACCCCTTCATTTGATGTAGAACTCCTGTCCCTGAGCTGGGTACAGGCCATGCAGCCCCTCCTGCTTCCTGGTATGTCCATGGAATTGGTCCTGTCACAGCAGGGGGTGAGGGCCTTGGAGAGGTCATTAGGGACACAGCAATGGAAGAAGCTGTGTGTTGAGGCCAGCAGAGTCATGTAATGGCCAGGACCACCTATCTATGCACTCTTGATTACAGCAGCTCAGTCTGTATTTAAATCTGTTTAATAGAAGGAACTTTGGACAACTGGTTCTTTGACCTGTGGTCTTGCACAAATGACCATATCTTTGCAAACCTCAGTTTCCACCTCTGTCAGATGGGAATACTACGCCTTTCCTTGCTCCTTGGGAAGCATCTAAGAGCTGCCGGGGTAGACAGGATTTGAAAAGCATAGTGAGTAAGGCAAAGGCGCGTGGGGCCCATTTTCAGGATGAGTGAGTGATCATGGTGTATTGCTCGATCACCTTCTCTTTAGGGGTTCTGAGTGGCTCAGTTAAACTGCTGGTTCAGCTAATCAAAGCCAAGATGAGCCCAGTAGGGTGAAAGCCATCTGCCCAGAATAATTCCCTCCAACCTTTAAAGTGCTCAGAAAACACAGAATTTGTCTTGGCTGTAATGGGCCAGAGCTATGGAAGTGATCTGGGTTGAAAAGCTTTTATACAATCGTAAGTTATGGAACTGGCTGAACCCAGTGAATCTCATTAAAATGCCATGGGTTGAGTGTTTATGTTTCATGTTCACGATGTTTGAATGTTTAAATTCACCCGAAAAATGTAAGTACTGAGATGCAATAACTGGCAGGTCTGGGCCACTATTTCAGGATGCAGTACCTGATGGTGACAGCAGCGTTGACAGGACACACTGGCTCTGAAGTCCGTGGGGGACCCTGCTCTCCCCACTAGCCCCCTCAGCGTGGTTTGACTTTTCTCCTGTAAATACTGGGTACTGGGCCCTGCACCACACCTACCTGGCTGATTTATGATGAATGGAGGAGAGAGTCCTTGTGATTTGGGAGACACAGGCAAAGAGCAGAGTTTAGGGGCTTGTTGGGGAAATTGAATGAAAAAAGCAAAAACTGAGGAAGTAGATGCAGGAGAGTAACAGGATAAGTGAATGAGTGGAAACAAATTATTCAAATTCCTCACCTTAGGACAATAGTAATACAAAGTATGACTAATCTCCCACCCCATTTATTAAAAAAAAAAATCTATTAATTGTTTACTGCACATTGGGGTCCTGCATTATTAGGTCCTGGGTCAAAATCTGTGACCTCACATGATACAGCTCTTCAAAAGGACAATTACGATGCCTAGGTAGCTATGTGTGAAATGCTGATGAGATAAATTTATTTTTTTTTATAAACTTATCTTTTGTATTTGTTCTTTCTTTTTTTTTAAAAAGATTTATTTATTTATACAGAACTGGGGTACAGTCAGAGGCGCAGGAGGGTGAGAGAATTCACCAGAGACAGAGCGGGGAACAGAACAGGAAGACAGGCCAAAGACACTGCTGAGGGGAGCAGCGGGCGAGTCAGGAGAGGTCTGCCGCGCCATGTGGGTTTCTCCCTGGCCAACCAGGAATCGAACCCGCGCTGCAGAATCTGCAGAGAGCCTCACAGCACAGTGCTCAACCTGCTGCACCACTGGGAAGGCCCTGATGAGATAAATTTAGCAGAAGAGGCAAGGGTCAGCATTTATGTACCATGTGATGGCAGTTATATTAAAAAAATAAGTGCAGAGGAGAATGAAGTGAGAGAAAAGTGACTAGGAAATAATGACTGTGTTAGGGTGATGGACTTTTGGCCAACTTTATTTTATTTTATATTTTTAAAGATTTATTTATGCATACAAAAACTGGGGTACAATCTAGAGGTGCTAGGAGTGAGCGGATTCACCAGAGACAGAGTGGGGAGCAGAACAGGCAGACTGACTGAAATACACTGCTGAGGGGAGCAGTGGGCGAGACAGGAAAGGTCTGCTGTGCCATGTGGGTTGCTGCCTACCTGGCTGGGGATCGGACTCCTGTTGTAGAGGCTGTGGATAGCTTCATAGAGCTGTGCTTATCCCCTTGCGCCACCAGGGAGACCCCAACTTTTCTTAATTTTCCTAACTTTCTGTACTATAGTTATATTACACTTGTAAATCTTGAATTTTTTTTTTTTTTAGTAATAAGAGGGGTCAAGATCTGACCAATGACCCCCTCCGATGTTACCCACAGGTCCAGCTAGCCTTCAAGGAAGCCCTCACCCCTGACAAACACGTCTTTCCCTGCCAGCCAGCTTGCGGGTCTCTAGGCATCACGCCCTTCTGTTCGGAGTTCAATCATAGAGATCAACATTTGCGAGGGGCCCAGATATACAGAAGGGCTCTCCTACCCTCTGTGATGGCAAATTCAGCAGCTCTCAGTGGAAATGGAGAGGCGCAGTGTGGGGGCTGGTATTTCCCCCTACTCTTAGGGCCTGGGCACCTGTCCATTTGAGGCAGGACATGAAAGACTTGGCCAGTTTCCCACCTTTGAATGGATGGGCCAGGCACTGCATGTCAAACCAAGGCCAGGCACTCACTGCTGTGCCTGCCTCCCCTGGAGAAAGCAAAGGCTCCAAATCGGCCTGCTCCGCTGTGTCTCTGGGAGGCAGCGTGGACGCAGACAGACCTGACTTTTGAAAAACTTTACAGATATTTCATCAAAGAACTACCTGCATCTGGTTAGAAAAATAAAATTGTACAGAAGGGCCTATAGTTAAAAACAGACCTTCATCCCTCTCCGTCTTGGATTCTGTCTTGTGTCTTAGGAGCAATGACTTTCAACTGTTTCTGTTTGCAGTTCTGCTAGCTCTCCATCCCTAAGAAATGTGCTTAGGCTACTGTGTTCTGACAGATCTTCTGGGACATTATCTGTTGTTTCCTTGCTCTGATTTAGCTCATCCCTCTACTTCAGTAGACATGGACAAGCATTCTCCAGACCTTCCTTTCAAAAAACTTGCTGCCCAGCTGTTGGGAGTCTGCCAACTCCTTCAAGGTCAGCCTCAGCTGTACAAATCGCCTCACCCCTGGTCATGGCCTTTCTGGGATAGCCTGCATCCAGCGACTCAACAAAGCAGGCAACTAGGCCAGTCTATTTCTGCCCTACTGGGGACATCAGCAGTGAAGACCCACTCAAGGGCCCTGGGCCAGCTTGGTGGGGCTCTGAAAGGTCTGCATTGCAGTTTAACTTCTTCCTGTGTGCAACCTATTTCCTTCCCCTTTTTTGGCACAGGTGTCCAACTTAATAAACATCACGTGCCCCCAACTGTCACAGTGTCTGCTTCCTGGGAACACACCTGGAAGAATCGCCCTTGTCCCTCTTGCAGTTTTTCTGAGTATGTTGGCTTGTACTCTGTCAACTAAATAGGAAGCTCATTTCCCAAAATTCCCTCTCCTGTGTGGTTCCAAGTTTGAGTTAAGCAGGAGGGACGTCTGCGATGTTTGCGAGGTAGACACTCTGAGGTAGCTGTTTTCACTCCCTGAAGGTAAATGGAAGCCAGGTCTGCTGCAGTTTGCCTGTTGTCACACACATGTGGCTCCCTTTGTTGACGTGCTGCCTGGGGCTTCTCTGGCTCCTTCTTATTATCCCTCTTCAGCTCCTCTGGGACCTGGGATGGATATATGTGCAGCTCTAGGATGAGGGCACCTGCTCATCTGGAAGGGCCACGTCATGGACTGGAGGCAGAGAGAGCAAATGCACATTTCATGTCATCCTTGTGGGTGCCATGTTGTCCTTCCTCTTCCTCAGTTCCATCTTTTCTTCTCAAATGCCATCTGCTGACCTCAGACCCAACACCAGACATGGAGGTAATTAATAGTCTCATATAGATTGTTGATCCAGGTCCCATGACGCTGTTGGGTCTAGTCTCCATAATTGGCCACTTTTTCTTAATTCTAACTGATGGGACTTTAAAATTAAAGCTCCTCTATTGACAACTTTGTTTCTTTTTTTTTTTTAAAGATTTATTTATGCATACAAGAGCTGGAGTATTGGCCAGAGGTGCAGGGGGGGGGGGGGGGTGTTGTGTATGTGAGAGAGGATTCACCAGAGACAGAGTGGGGAGCAGAACAGGTGAATCTACTGAAATACACTGCTGAGGGGAGCAGGGGGCAAGATAGGAGAGGTCTACTGTGCCACGTGGGCCAGCTCCCTGGCCAGGGATCGAACTTGTGCCACAGTGGCTGCTAATAGCTTCATAGTGCTGAGACTTAACCCCT